GGAAGGGTCTACAGGATGTTCAGGGTCTCACTACTAGATCGGACTCGTAGTGATTGAGACTGGGCATGGTGGCACACACCTGTAATCCCAGCTCTTTAAGAGGCTGAATACAAGAGGATCACTATGAGTCCCATCTTTGTAGTAAAACCCTGTAGACCCTTACTAAAAAATAAAAATAAAGAAAGAAAAGAAAAAAAGTTGGGTATAGTGCATGATCATAATCCCAGCTATCCAGGAGGCTGAGGCAAGAAGATTGATCACAAATACCTAGGGAATTTAGCAAAGTCTTGTTTCAAAATTAAAAAATTGGGCTGGGAATATAGTTCAGTGGAATAGCATCTGCCTGGTAAGTGCAAGGTGCTGAGTTTGATTCCCAGTACCAAAAATAATAATAAACAAACAAACAAAAAAACTATAAAGGGCAGAAATGTAGCCCAGTCATCTAGTTCTCCTAGGTTCAATCCCCAATACCACAAAAAACCCTCATTTTTATACATGTCAATACATTTGACAAGGTACATTTGATGTAATACATTCATACCTGAGGTACATCAAATATTTACGAAATACTTTCATGTGCAAAGTAATCTTAGAAAGTAATGCATGGGCTGGGGCAATAGCTTGGCCATCTAAGTACCTGCCTGGCAAGTGCAAGGACACGGGTTTGATCCCCGGTACCACATGCCATGCCAGCCACTGAAACCATGCTGGCCACCAAAACCAAGCATGGTAGCACATACCTGTAATCCTAGCACTGGGGAGACTGAAATAGGAGGATCACTATGAGTTCAAGCTGCATAGTGGGATCCTGTGCCAGATGATTAAAAAAAAAAAGTAATACAGATAAGAGCTATCAGAGGGAAGATGGTATACATGCAAACATAAAAGAAAAACAAAGGGCTGGGGAGATAGCTCAGTAGAATAAGTGTCTGCCTGGGAAGTGCAGGGTCCTGAGTTCAATCTCCAGAATGGCAAAAAAAAAAAAAAAAAAAAAAAAGAAAAAAGAAAAACAGAAAAAGCTAAACTTAAACCCTAAATGCAAAGGTAAATGAAATATGGCTAAATTTTAAGAACAGCATAAAACTCGGAAATGTTCATGGTCTACACAAAGGCAAACGTGTGTATAGGCTGACAATACGTAAGAGTTTTATTGTTTCCATCTCTTTTTTTCATCCTCACACTGACATGTGAATTGAGCACTGTTATTAAACTTATTTTATAGGGAACTAAAGAAGGTTAAATCACCTGTCTCAGCTCGTAGAGCTCTTAGATAGTACAACTAAAATTTACTGACACCAATACTAAAGGCCTGTAAACTTAACAATACTATACTACAAACGAAGATGAATTGTTGGAAATACAGAACTACTAAG